ATATAGAAATGAAAATTTTTAATAGTAAGGGACATTTGAATTATATCCTCACAAATAATTTAGGGACCCATCTTTATTGATAATAATAAATCTTGAATTAAAGAAAAGTTAACAAAATTGAAGGTTAAAAAGATATTGACTGTTTTGTTATACAAAGTTCAAAGTTAAAAGCTTGCAATTAAGATATATATATATTTTTTATTTGACTTTCTATTAATATTAATTATATTCTATAGAATATACTTGAAATAGTTTTATTTTTATCAAAATTTTAAGCAAAATTTCTTTTCTAAAATATTAATTACTTGTAAATAATTCTTAAAAAGATATTTGAAAGACAAATTAATAAGTTTTATTTTTAAAATAAAAATTTAAATTAAAAAATTATTTTTATTTTTATTAAATAAGTTAACTTGTATTATAAAGAGATTTTGAAAGTTGAAGTATATTAAATTTTATATAAAAATAAGTCTTCTTGGAAAATAATTGAAAAATACAAGTATTAATAGTGAAAGAAAGTTTTGTAATAATTATATTATTGTTTTTATCCATGTATATTATTGTAATAAGATATTTTTTCTTTTTACAAAAAAAATATCTAATAAAAAAATTTGGTTGTCACATATTATAATATAAATATTAATAAAATATAAGATTTTTTTAAAAGAAACTCTTGAAATAAATTAATAGATATATTGAAATAATATAATAAATAATATATATGTTTGATAAATAATATATTTGAAATATTAATATATTTGATTTGAATTGTTAATATAATTAAATGAATATATTTAATTTATTAACATAATTAACTTATTGATATATTGGATTTGTTAATATATTAGGTTTGATAATATATTAAATTTAATAATATATTGAATTTGTTAATATTGTTTTTTTAATTAATATATTTAAATTTTTTTAATATATTAATATGATTTATTTGTTAATATGTAATATAAACTTGTTTAGTATAAATATATGTTTATATTGTTATAGATCTTTTAATAGAATTAAACTAAATTTAATTTTTTTTAATTTATAAAAATTAGATTATATATTCTGAGTGATTAATATGATTAAATATGTTGTTATTTATATTTTTTAAATATTCTAATTTGTATTTTCTTTGAGAAAGTTTAATATTTTTTTGTTTTTTGTTTAGTGTTTAGGTATTTGATTTATTAAATAAATTCTAATTAATAAAGATCTTTTTAATATTTAGAAAGATATAGAATCTTGTATACAATTGATTAAAAGCTAGAAGGGTTGATGCTAATTTTTTTTTTAAGTTTATTGTGAAATGTATTTTTATATATTTCTTTTTTAAAATAAAGTTTTGTTCTATTTGTCTGAAGAAAAAAGAAGCAAACAAGCAAATAAGTTATTAATAGTAATTATATTTAGAAAGTATGTTATTATTGAAATATAATTATTATTTGTTTGATATTTTTTAAAACTTAGATAAATTTATTTTTGGGTTTTCTTAAAATTATCAAAAAAACAATTTAAAAAATCTTAAAAATTTGTATTCAAATAATTTAAAAGATTATTCATATATTTAAAATATATTTAAAAATAACTTATATATACTTTGCTATAATAAAAATATATGTAAAAATAAGAATTTACAATAATTTGTAATAATACCTGATAGAATATAATTAAAGTTAATAAAAATTCAAAAACAATAATAACAATAATTACTTTTTTGTTTTACATACAATATATTATTATATACAGATATATTATTATATATAGTATACTATATATTGACAAGTGTTGGTTCAAATTATAAGTTTGAAAATTAACATGCATAAATCAATTACTGTATATTATTTTTAGCTTATAGAATTTATGGCTTGAAGATTTATTTGTTTTTTTTATTATAAGATTTAATTTAAATTTAATTGATAGAATTTATATGATTTTTTATAACAATATACTGTAAATATCTTGAATTAATACTGTATTATAAATTCATAGATTTTTTAATAATCTTCATAATTTGATTTTAAAATTTTTAATTATTTTTTGGTATTTTTAAAGAATACGAAAAAATATTGTTCGAATAATATGATACAATATATGCATAATTGTGATTACATTATTTTTCAAATGAAATTTTTATATCGTGATTGATTGATTTAGACGATGAAATGAGAATAAATAATAAATCAATTTATTACAACTTATTCATCAAGCTTAAAATGTACCGTATAAAGAGAAGAATTGTATCATGTAAAAAAATAATTGTAGTACAATTAAATTCAATCAATGATTAATTTAAGACAATAAGGTTTCTTTTGCGCCAATCTTAGGCGCTCACGTGATAACAATACAATGATATTATAAACAATATTTCAATTGTTACGTTTTATGTATAATTTCCGCCACTAGTCCTCGCACAACAGTGAGTAAATTAACACGCAAGTTTATCGAGAGACGCGTTTCCCTTACTAACGTATTAAATACCAAGAAGCGAAAATTTCTACTCTATCTTGTTATGATTATTGATAAGAAGGAAGACTAGTCTCTTTCGCTCTCCGCGCTTAAAGTCACGTTATACAGTATAAACAGTTATGACTATAACTTAAATTAAAATCAAGTTGAAGTCATTTATTGTTTTCGTTGACGTACTATTTTATCATAGTTTGACAACTCTAATTATAATTCATACCGCAATTTGATACAAGACTTCGAACTTTATCATAAACATGTAAGAGAGGAAAATCGAATCAGCACGAGTAAAATATGAAGTTATTCAATATATACGTACTATTCACGTTATTCTCGCGTCAAGATATATGATGTAATCCGCAATGTCAAAACATCTCGTTTCGGTTTAGTACGAATTGACTATACACTCACATCTTGACTAATGCGTATTACGTATCGTATTACGTATCACCAGTACTGTGTGTGAATCAGTCAAAATTTTTCTCAAAATTTTCATTGGACGAAATTTTGTTTCATTAATCATCAGGTGTAACGTAATACAGGTGTAAATACAGTACGTGAACGCCATTTCATCAAATTTGTTTATCTTTTTAACTGCACTACACTTTATTCAAAAAACCGAGTTTTTTTTTCGTGCAAAGTTTGAAAAGAAAATAATTATCTTGTTTCATAGTTGTGTCTTTCTTTGACAGTTAAAAACAACGCGAAAAAAATAGGTTAAAACGCTTGAATACATCGTTGCAAGTATTTTTGATCCGGTTATCTTGAGACATAATTTGCTAATATGTCCTCTTTTTTTCTATTTATCATTGTTAGATTTTTTTGAAATATGACGAAGAAAAGAAAAAACAACGCGGCTGTGATATGGGAGGCGACGGCTATCTTGAATGAGAGATATGACAAGGAAAAGGAACGGTTATGTTATCTGGTACAATGGGCTGGTGAAGATGAACATGGAAATAAATGGAATCCAACTTGGGTATAATTTCTACTAAAAAAAAAAAGAACTAATAAATAACGTGATTATTATTTTCGCTTAACATATGATTGAAATATGAAATTTGTTGTTTGTAGGAGCCCGATGTTAATTGCGGTGCTGCTTTAATAGACGAATGGAACGAGAGAAAAAAAAGAAATGCTATCGAGGCAGGTAACAGTCAAAAAGAAAGTACCATGGATTTAGGTTATCGGAAAAATGAGAGCGCACCGATGTTGCCAACGAGTATAAAAGCACGAAGCGATATTCTTTACGGTTCACCAGTTGAACCAACAAAGAAAAAATCATTGATTAACGGTTCACCAACCGAAAATTTGCGGAACGTTAGCGAAAAAAAACGAACGCTTGACGAGCCGTTACTCGTTGACGCTACATGTATTAATACTGACTATAAATTCCAGGATAGTGATGTTAAGTCAGCAAGTTGCTCTGTATCTGATGCACATCTGGAAAATGGTCAAAGTCAGAAAAACATTCAGAATAGTAAAGGCGTTCAAAGGAGGAAAAGTGATCATAGTACAAAAAGTATCGATAGAACTAATTCGTCTTCATCCTCAAAATCATATGTGCGCAATAATCCATCACCAAAAAGTCTTGATAAAAGGCCAGCTCTTTCAACTGGAAGGGCTGTTACCATTTTTAAAGTAGCTCCTGGTAAAGGAAAATATTCGGTTCGCAATTCGGATCGAAAGCTTGATAACAGGAGTGATACGACGACCACAGGCAGTTCTGAACGCAATGTAACCACCAAATCACCAATTTTAGACGTTGAATATTCGGATAAGTCGAACTTAAATGATAATGGTTCCCAGCAGTTTTTCAAGCTTACACTTCCGTCACAATCTGGTCGATTATTTATCGCTAAACAGATTAGTCCGCAGATGAATCAAACAATACCAAATAAGAGAAGTAAGTCTGCACATACACTTACTAATACTGACGTAGAAGAGAAACTAGCGTCGCATAAAAAACCTCGTTATGAAGAATCGCTTTTCAGCGAAGAGGAGGAAACTATAATTTCCGGACAAGTTCTCACGGTCAATCAGGTTAGACTTCCAATAGAAGGTGATAATGTTATAGTGACCAGGACTTTACATAATCCATCACCAAATAGCACACCTTCACCCATAAATGTCATAAACGATCCTAAAGTATCAATACAAAAATCCCCTGATGCAAGTACAATGATTCCGCTCGTTCGTGAAACTAGCGACTCCCAGTCTCCTAAGCTGCCTTCTAATTCATCTTCACAACACAGAGCAAGTATCATGGAGATTGTTACAAGAAATGTTAAAGCTTCCTCTTCGAGCAGCTTAAAACAAATACAATCTCCCATAACACCAAAAAGTAATATAGATGAGTCAGAATTTTATTTGCGGAGTCGGTCCTTGAATAAATTAGATGGAAAATTTAAAAATGATTCATCATCAAATCTACTTAAAAAATCTAAATTCGATGATGCTAATTCGACTCAGCTTTACACCGGGAAAAAACTTACTCCTACATCGAGCGTCAAGAATGGACCATCGACTTCGGATTCACGTACATCACCGAAGAAATCTGCGAATGCTAATAATGCAGATTCTGATGATAATGAAGAAGAGGGCTATATTATATCATCACGGTTGGTACCATCAAACTCGATTGAACCAGAAGTTCATAATCTTTCGCACACAAGTAAAATAAGTAATGAACCAAATAAGGTGACACCTATACAAAAACCAGTAAGTATTTTCATGCATCAATATTCATTAATATGCTACCGCACATTTGCTTATTATATGCTTAATGTGAAGGTTACTCCCGATGACCAAGGTGTGACCGAGGAAATCGAGAAGCTACGGAAGGAGATTTCCAAAAACAAAGAAGAACTAAAAACCACAAAAAAGAATTTAATCAAAGTTCAAGAAGAATTAGAGAAATACAAGAAACAAGACAAAAAACAGCAAAATGATCAAAAAAATGCTAGCAAAAAAGTGGATGTGTTGAATGGAACCCCTAACACACGAGATTGTGCACAAAATGTTGATATTGCATGTCATGGTTTCAATGATTTCTCTGAAATGAGGGAATATATTGTCAGAGCATTTGTTCGCATAGAGGAGATGAGCTCGAAATTTGATGCATTGAGAAATGAGTCGGACAATGAGATGAGGATGTCATCTCGTGATGCAAGTTCTAGTATTAAAAGGGAAAGGATGAGACGAATCATTTTAGAGAAAGAATTGGAGTTGGTGAAGGAAACTTCCATGATTTCAAAGGATACCATCAAATTTTTGTCCGAGTTGAGCTTTTCGATGGGACTATCACTCAGAAATTCCAAACATAACTCTACCAATGGCAACACCAATGACAATGGTCATAATTCGCAGAGTGTTAATAATATTCATGCAGCCGGTAACGTTGTTCGATCCAAAAAGAAGCGCACAAGGAAACGGAAACGTAGTGGTGTATATGGTAGCAACCTTGCCACGATTTTTGATGATAATATTATCCTGCCCAAACATTCGGTTTCCGATACGTCGCCCTCAACCTCAAGTATTTCTCCCAATACACCACCCAAAAATACTATGTTCAAAAGTGCGAACACCGATACGTCGCCCTCAACCTCAAGTGTTTCTCCCAATACACCACCCAAAAGTTCTATGTCTAAAAGAGCGAATATCGATACGTCGCCCTCAACCTCAAGTGTTTCTTCCAATACACCACCCAAAAATTCTACTTCTAAAGGTGCGAATACCGATACGTCGCCCTCAACCTCAAGTGTTTCTTCCAATACACCACCCAAAAATTCTACTTCTAAAAGTGCGAATAACGTTGGTGCTCGTCGCAAATTTACCGCTGTTAGTGGATTCCCCTCTACAACGTCCATCCCCGACAGTAATCCAAATGGAAACAAGCATACCACAAAGATTACCTCAATTTCGCCTACCATTGATCCATCATCAAGCAAAACTTTGTCTCTAATCGGACAGGCGGACAGGCCACTCCAAAACAACGCTACCACAAGTTCAAATCCAGAAATGGAACATGTATCACGCACGAATTCGTGTACCCGCTCACAATATTTTTGTGATTGGAATTTTTGCAATCAATCGTTTGAATCCAAAGCAAGCTTGAGGTTACATATAATCGATGCACATTTTGAAGAAGGTGCAATCAAATTATTGAAACCTCACGTCCCGGAATTAAACGGGTGATTTTACATATAGTAGTCAATTATTGTGGAATGATGAAAAGTAGGGGAATTTCTATGTAAGAATGGAAAAAATGATTATAAAATTCTAATCGTAAATGCAATTACCGATATGAAGGGTTAATGATTATGTTTCGTATCATAAACATTCTATGGATGGGTATGGTATATAGAACCAGGAAAAAAGTCTGTTCTAGAGGTTCCCGGGCTTATTTGTATAGGATAGATGTCGGTATTTGTAAATGGAAAGTTTAATCATAAAAAAATTTTCATGCTGTGCACCTGATATAAAATACGACTAGTGTATCTTTAGTAACGTGTTCATCCCAATTAATCTGGGATCTAGAATAATTGACATCCAAGGAGGAACGGATGATGGTCATACAACGCGAATATAATCTCTATGATCGGAATCTTAGTCCTTGGAATTATGCATTCATTGTTTACAGCAAAGAATAAGCAGAATTAACAGTCGATTGCATAATATTTGTTGTGTTCTTAATGCGATATCTGGGTTTGTCTAAAAATCAAGTAGCTCCATTAGATCTTATGGAAGTCAGAAAGCTCAACGTTCGGTTGCATAAAGTTCTTAATATGGTGTAAACCCGCAGCATTTCATATACGGAAACGGAACGAGCATAAGTAATCGACCTAACTCGGAAATTGATGAGCTTTAACTCAAAGGCAAAAAAAATAATAATAATCGATAATTAGATTATCTAATAGTTAGTGGTCGCAAAATTTAGAAGACACACGACGAGCTCTCTTCATTGACTGCCACGTTTGTTAATGAAAAATCATATACTGCATAACATTTATGATACGACGTATTTTATTTGAAGATTTGATTGTTTTGTTACGTTTATTCAAAGAAGTCAAGTTTTTGAAGCAAGTATATTATTCGCCTCGAGTCTGACTAGTGCTATGTTATCATCTATTGCAATGTTTCGTCGTTGTTGATTGCATAACCCGAAAATTGACCTTGCCTAATCTGAAAGTATACAAAAAAAAGTGATTTATTATGTACTGCACAGTATATCTCATTGGATTTTAATTACATTAGAAAAAGTAATTTCAAAAAAAAAAAAAAAAGACAAGACATAATGATAGATTGTGATAATAGTGTAAATAGATAAATAATATTGTTGATCCAAGATCTGAAATTGAGAAGAAACAAAGAATTTTTGAATTTTCTTCTAATAAAAACTTCTATTTGGACTGTAATTTACAAAAACGTTCGTGATTGGATTGGATTTGATTTGATTTTGATTTGATTTGATTTTTGTCACAATTTAATCAATTAATTATGATATGCTAGTTTTAAGGAAAAAAAACGTGTTCACAGATCAGTGATTTCTGTTCAGTAATTTTACTTTGTTTTTTTTGTTTTTAGTGATTTGCATGTTTATAATAAAATTCCGTTTTTGATACAAAAATGGGATGATTTAAATAAATCACGTGTATTAAAAAAAAAAGATAAAATTTTTAAACAAAGTATTTGCGATATACACATTATTGTGTTTTTTGTCACTTTCTATATCATCATTACTAATGCAACTATAGTATCGTCAAAAAAAAAAAAGTAATCATATAGTATTTTATTTATTAATTTTAACTACGGACGATGTTATCATTGTATTGTATTCAGATATGCGCATGTACCGTAACTGTGTAATTCCATATTTTAAGCATTTGTTCCGAAATGTTCGTTGGATTTTTATCTAAACGCACGCATGTTCTGATGTGGAACGATTAACTTACTTACTATTATTCTTCTTGATCATCATGATCTTGGTAAACTTTAACCGCAGCATTTAAATTTTATTTTGGGTGCGGTATATGACTGAAACATTCGGTGCAATTAAAAGAATTAAAAGGTGTGGCCTTTTTCGAATAGTCCACGATGCCATTGTTAATTAGGAAACATTGTGTTGACAGACAGCAGGGTAAAATGAGGTCATTGCATTATGTACTGGTATTATTATTGAAAGTCCGATTACATTGATATTTTTATCGTGCATTATATGACTTACCACATTCGATGCTGATTTATTAATTGATACTGATGATGCTTGGACCAATCTGCAATAACGGGAAAAGTATACAATATTTTTTACGATTAATCTTTTTAATCATAAAATTCCCGACGTACACACATTCTTTAACACAATGTTAAAGAAATCATTGCGTCATACTGATCACATTGGATTGACGCCCAAAGGATGGATTGCTATTTTCGAGCTAAAGGGCACGCCTTCATACAGTAATAACCCTCCTTCCTTTGAGTGTATCCTGTAAATATATTGATAACATAAAAATAAATAATAAATAATGAAAGTGTCGGTTTCAACAATAATATCCTTATTATTAGTCTCCGGATTCATAATAGCCACGATTATTTCGATTGTAAATTTGCATAAAAAGAATTGGTTAAATTTTAATATCGTCGCATTCGGCGATTCTCTAACGGACAATGGTAATTTATGGAAGATGAGCAATGGTACAATCCCACCGGGAGATAGTTACTTTCAAGGTAAACCAATGTTTGGCAAAGTAAAAGAAAGAAAGAAAGATGTGTATACGTAGTACAAATGATTACATCTACCAATAGGGCGGTGGACAAATGGTCATGTATGGGTGGAATTTGTTGAATCAAGATTAGTTGCAAAGTTGACAGATTGTGCTTTTGGAGGTGCTTTGACAGAGAAGAACCTTAACGGCTCGAAATCAGAAAAGTTCTTGTCCATTTATTCGGTTCCTTCGGTTAAAGAACAAGGTAAAGATGACATGATACGTTGTATAACAATGTTAAATTCGGTATCATTAATATTATTCTTAATGTTGCAGTGGAAGGAATATTACCAAACATAACAAAATTTCCCCCTCAAACGACTTTCACATTTTGGTCTGGAAGTTATGATTACATGGTAACTTTTAGTAAAACGTACTGTGTTCATTGTTATCATTTTTTTTTAAAAAGTTCAAAATCAATTTGATTTATTTGTTTGAATCAGAAAATATTCGAGAACAATCTCACCATCACACCCACAGATATAATAGCATCAATTCAAAACTCGGTTTCTCTCCTTTCATCTTCCGGAGCCCGAAGATTTTTGTTCCTAAATATTCCGCCGATTCATCGTATTCCACATTATAAATCTTATAACAACCTCACGCGTTTACGAGACCTCGTTGAAAAACATAACATTCTATTGAATGAGACAATATCGAACATTACCAGGTCTAAAAGAATCCAAGCGCAAGTGTTTGATGTTTGGGGATTCGCGGAACGCGTCCTTAGCGACCCACGGAAATTTGGATTCAAGAATACCGTGGATTCTTGTTTGAATAAGCAAGAATTTGTTAATGGCACCGGGTTAAATAAGGTCACCGGACAAAATGTCGTGAGTTCTTCAATTAAAACTTGTGAGAATCCCGATGAGTATCTGTGGTGGGATGATATGCATCCAACAACGAAAGCACACGAATTATTGGCCAAGGAAATCATAATGTTTTTAAAGTCGCTTGACGGATCTTGTTTGTATTTGGCAAGTTGTGGTTAGAATAGTTGAGAAGAGTTTGACATAATGTGAGCGTTTGCGAGTTAGTTTGAAATTTCTGTCGCAATTTTTTACAAAAACTATTTATATTAGAAGGACGCAGTCTTATAATATTACTAGAAAGAGAGTATGCATATTAGACGAGAGATCATTTTTATTAAAAAATTTAGAAAGTCAGTTTACAGTCAAAAGAATAAATTCTAGAATCGTTTTTTCATCCGATTATTTGGAATCTAAGAGCCAATCTTTTTGTATCGAACTATAAAATAAATGCTTGATGTAATGAATAAAATAACAAATCAACGAATCTCTTAATATAACAATAATAATAATTGCTACTGACAATAACAGTAAAAAATGTTGCTAAAAACCACCAGTAGAAATTTTAAATTTTATTAACACATAATACTATAAAATACTTTTATAAAATTATGACAAATCCATCTTTACAGAATATCTAATGTCTATGTATGTTTAATGTTGCCGATAATTTTTGAAAAATTTCGGTTTGTTGTTTTGATTATACCAAGTTTTCTTTTTTGTTTTGTTTTTTCATGAAGCGGGCCTTCTACCTGATCGTCCCTGAAACTTCTTTAATGCCACATCCATCAGATAATCAAACTCGTTACTTTCCTTACAAAGACTACGGAAAACACTGTCAGTATTCAGTAGAAGGTTGTAGGGCGTGTCGAACTCGACTATCTTTCCTTGATCTATGTTAACGAAACAGAAAATAGGATTTAATAATGTATGTTAAATATTGGCGACCAAAGATATTTAGAAAGGTTTATTATACCTAGTACTAGAACCTATAGGACGTCGTGATAAAGAGATATAATGAGTAAATATAAATTGTTTATCAAAGATTTGGAATATCCATTTCTATTTCAAAATCACCTACCCTATCGTAATCAATTATAGTCCTTAAGCGATGTGCAATACATAATAGAGTCGCCCAGTTGAATTCCGAACGAATGGTTTCTTGTATTTTACCGTCAGTCTCAACGTCAACACTTGCGGTGGCTAAATAATTAGGAATAAAAAATGATGAGAAATCATTTGACAAATAATCACAAAAAGAAATTTCTTTATTTTACCTTCATCCAAAACGATAACTGGTGATCTCCTACGTGTCCAACCAACATCAAAATATTATATAATCAATCGAATAATTAAAATGATAGTGAAATAAAAAAATCGTAAAGTTGCTATACCGTAATAAAGCCCTGGCCAAACATAATAGTTGCCTTTGTCCTTGACTGAAATTCTCCCCTCCCTCTGTTACTTTTGCTTGCAATTTGCCCTCCAATTTGGAAATGTGATTATTTAAATGCGCACACTGAAGAACTTGCCAAATTTCAACGTCATCATGGGCTTGGAACGGATCAAGATTGAAGGAAACGGTTCCTATTATACACAAAATAGTTGACATGTGTTCTTTATATGAAAGAAAACTGAGATCTGGTTGATCAAAATAAAAAATATTAACCTTCGAATAGAACTGGATCCTGAGGGATGACTGTAAGGCGGGAGCGCAAATCATATAGTCCAATTTTTGATATGTCAACGCCATCCTACAATTTAGGTATGTTAAATCTTTGTTAAACACTACCGCATAATTGTAACCAAAGTCTTGCTTTCTTGAACTCCTTTTTCTCAGAGTAAACTTACCACAATTATATTACCACTAGCTGCTTCAATTAATCTAAACAAGCTTAAAGTCAAGCTCGACTTTCCAGCTCCCGTTCTTCCCACAATACCAATTTTCTCTTTGGATTGCACGACAAACGATACGTTCTAAAAATGTTAAAAAGTCAATATACCACGAAAATGAATAAAAAATTCGAAAAAAAATATATCGTCAGGAAGGCTGAAGCCCGAATAAAAACCTTTAAAACCAACTCAAGATCGGGTCGATATCGAGTCGAATAATCGTGATATTCAATCATTCCATTTGGTGGCCATGTCGGCGTCGGTCGATTGTCGGCAATAACTAACGGAGCTTCGCTTGGCAAGTCAATATACTGTATAAATTATTAAAAGGCATCTTAGATAAACACATGCGTAATATGACAATAACACCTCAACGAGCAAAAAACCTACCTCTTTGACTCGCTCCACGGATATGATGTTAGTCTAATTACAAAAGGAAAGCGTATAAATAGGTATGACGCATATGAAACAATGAATGTGATCAACGAACCTCAATCTCACAAAATTGTCGAACAGCCCAATTTAAAGCCTGGGTAACGGACAATGCATATGAAAGCGATAAACCAACAAGACCAGCATCAACATTGCGAACCGTGACTACAGATAAAAGCGCTGCGCTAAATATAATCAACGATCCTATGGTTTATAAAATACTTGGTTCGATAAGATACATTAAATTTAAATAAATGAGACTAAAAAAAAAAAAAAAATTCGCACCCAAAAATTCCAGCCTCACTGCCAGCCACCTGTTACACGAAACCGAAGGATAATAGGCTTTCTGGTTTTCATCCAATTTTGACTCATTTTCTTCCATGAATCGGACAGATTGTTGATATGCTCGAATGGTTGTAACACCGCCTAGGGTCTCCTGAAAATGTGCGTAAATTGGTGACCTCGTCAATGAATCCAGCCGCTTGAGTTCTCTCGATGTGGACAGATAATATGTTTGAATGTAATTGTATATGAAAACTTTGTGAATAATAGAAA